AGATCAGAAGACAGTTAAATGAATTACTGTATATTGGTGATGGAACATCACAAAGCCATTTAAATTGATGTGAATTTTTTAAATGCCTCCAAATGCTTAAATTTTTTTCATCATCTTTTTCTCAATACAGAGGAATCGATTAGAAACTAATTTGTCTTGTGGGAGTGAAGAAAACTTTTATCTGAAGTTCAGTAACTCTCAATTCCATTTATGATTTCTTTTTCTTTTGTTAAAATAAAATTAATGTTGATGCTTTTTGTTAAAAACGACATTTAGAATATGATCCCATTTTATTTTATTTATTTATTTTTTTTCTTGTGAGGAAGATCAGCCCTGAGCTAACATCCGTGCTAATCCTCCTCTTTTTTTTGCTGAGGAAGACTGGCTCTAAGCTAACATCTATTGCCAATCCTCCTCCTTTTTTTTTTCCCCCCAAAGCCCCAGGAGATAGTTGTATGTCATAGCTGCACATCCTTCTAGTTGCTGTATGTGGGATGCGGCCCCAGCATGGCCGGAGAAGCGGTGTGTCCGTGCGCGCCCGGGATCTGAACCCCGGGCCGCCAGTAGCGGAGCACGCGCACCCAACCCCCACGCCACAGGGCCGGCCCCTGTGATCCCATTTTAATAAAAATTATCTGCTCATCTCTCCACCTATCTTTCTCTCTGTATACGTCCATAGAGAGAGGTTTAGAATTATGCTCAACTACCGTCGATGAGGGCTGTTTTTCAGCCGAGGAATGTGGGTGTATATTAGCCCACCTCTTCATACTTTTCTATGGTTTTTGATATTGAGCATATTTTGATAAAAAAATCAATCATAAAAATAAAATAATGTGATGGTAATTGTAGTGGATTGAATAGTAACCTTTAGAAGATATGTCCACCTTGAACCTAGGAATGTGATCTTATTTGAAACGAGGGTCTTTGCAGATGTAATTAAAGTAAGAGTCTGGAGATGAGATCATCGTGGATTAGGGTAGGTCCTAAGTCCAGTGTCCTTACAAGAGACAGAAAAGGAAAGGGCACACAGAGATGTAGGGGGACAGGTGAGGACCAGGGAGAGGTGGAGCGATGCATCTACAAGCCAAGGAACGCCAAGGATTGGTGGCCACCGCCAGAAGCGAGGAGAGAGCTTTCTCCCTCGGAGCCTCCAGAAGGAACCAACCCTGCCGACACCCCGATTTCAGACTTTTAGCCTCCAGAATTGTGAGAGAATAAATTTCTGGTGTTTTAAGCCACCCAGTTTGTGGTACCTGGTTACAGCAGCCCTAGGAGGCTAATACAATATTTAAGACCTCGTAACTCATTTATTCAACAAATATTTATTGAGAGCCTCCTATGTGCTAGTCATTGAGCTGATATATTTAAGTGAGAAAAACAGGGGACAGACTGTATGAACTGAATGATTGGGAAAAAAATATGAGGCAACAAAACAAAGTGAATAAACAATTTTAAAAAGTGGTAACAATGGTCATGAGATGGGTAGTGTTTTACCTCCTCAACTTTTAATGACATAAATTACGTGTCCAAAACACGCATTTTGCTTTGGGATCGCTGTAGATTCAGGCTCAATAAACATTGAAGCCCACTCCTTCTCTTGGATGCTCAAAGCTGGGTGTGCTGCATTGCTGGCTTGGCTGTTTGGAGCTGGATCTAGCCAGACCTGACACCTCTATCAGAAATGAACACACAGCTGTACCTCCGATAGGCCATTTGCAAAGCTTCTGTAGGAGGATCTTCAGAAGGGGACCTATTCTAGAAAGAAAGAGAGCCAAAGATTCCAGAAGGAAGACAAACCTTCCTGTTTCTCACAGATCCTTGAAATCTGCCCCCTATCCAGGAAAATCCAGCCACAGGAAGTGTTAGGATGAGCAGGTCTATTCCAGCCTGGTGTATTGGTTTGCTGGGGCTGCCATAGCGAAATACCACAGACTGAGTGGCGTAAACAGCACGTTTACTCTCCCACAGTTCTGGAGGCTGGAGGTCTGAGATCACGGTGGTGGCAATTTGGTTTATTCTGAAGCCTCTCTCCTTGGCGTGCAGATGGCCGCCTTCTCACTGTGTCCTCACAAGGTCGTCCCTCTGTGTCTGTGTCTTAATCTCTTCTTAGAAGAACATGGGTTCTATTGGATGAGGGCCACCCCAAAAAGCCCCTTTTACCTTAATTACCTCTTTAATGGCTCTATCTCCAAATCCAGCCACATTCTGAGGTGCTGGGTGTTAGGGCTTCAACATATGAATTTGGAGGGGACAGAATTTAGCCTGCAACATTGGGTTTGAGGACACTTAGAGGACTCTGGTTTGCTCCAGGAAGTTCAGGACATCGGCTGTCTCCGAGTTTCCATGTGGAGGACTAATGGGCGTCTCAAAACCTAAGGTGTCTGTGGCAGAAGGCCTTGATTCCCTCGCTCACCCTGCGGGGCTCCGGCCCTGGCTCAAGAGTGGCCGCCATCCACCAGGTAGTCCAGACCAGCCCTGGGGTGTCGTATGTCATCCCTGCCTTGCCGTTATTTCCACCCCACATCCATCCACACGTCCTCCCGCCCTTCTTCCAAACCCCGTCTCAAATCCACCCCTCCATCCACGCCTCCTCCCAGGTCTGAGACGCCACCAGCTCCTGCCCAGACCACTGCAGTAGCCACCTCGCCGATCTCCTCACTGCTACTTGAGCCCCTCCTGTCCCTCCTCCACGCAGCAGCCAGGGGAGACTTTCCAAGATGTAAATCCTATCCCTCACTGCCTACTGGCTTTCCAAGATACTCGGAAGAAAATCCCAACCCTTCACCGTGGCCGTCAAGGCCGCCAAGCTCTGGCCTCTGTCCACCTCTTGGTCCTGGCCACCTACCCTCTCCCCTCTCACCCTCTTCACCTCTTCCAGGCTGACTTTCTGTTCCTCCAGCTAGTCGATCTTCTTTCAGCCTCAGGGCCTTTGCGTCAGCTGTCCCCTCTGTCCGGGAGGCTCTTCCTCCATCTTCTGGCACAGCTGGCTCTTCCTTCGCCGGGTCTTCTCAGCTCTCTCCTCTCTCTTCTCTGACTGCCCCCTGTCCCCGGTATTCCCCCGTCACATGATTTATTTTACCTGTCGGCATTACTATCATACCCAGTTATCTTGTTACCGTACTTGTGGAGGGCCAGAGGGTCGTTAGGTGCTTAGCAAACACTTGTTGAGTGACTTCACATCTTGAAGCACCTGCCTTACTGGCTCATCCTCTCCAGACAACGCTCCCCACCCAGCCACTGCCCAAGGGAAGGGACGCAGAGGGACCTGGATGCCGACCTGTTGATGTCTTCATGCCGTGACCCTGAGCAGGCGCCGCCGGGGTGGCGGCCGTGGTTGGAGGCCGGATCTGAGTCACTCACGGCCCCAAGGAAAGCCACCTCTGGCTGATGCGTCCTCCCACATGCCTTGGCGTGGTCAGCATCCCGGCCATACCTTGGGCTGCTTGGGGAGTTGACCCCAAGGGGTGACCTTGTTCCTTTGCACAGAGAAGGGAGCTTGAGAAAGCAAAGCTCTGAGCGGGGTAGGATTCATTCATTCATTCGTTCGTTCACTAACTCAACACATATTAATTAAGCCCCTGTTATGTGCCAGGCACTGTTCCAGGCCCTGAGGGACACAGCAGTGACAGAGGCAGAGGACTTCCCTGCTCCTCATGGATCTGCCCTTCAGATAATGGAAACAGAAAACAATATGTAAACTAACAGTAAATAAGGGGCGGGGGTCGTGTTTGGAGGCGTGGTCAGGGAAGGCTTCTTGGAGGCGGTGGCCTTCAAGGACGAGAAGGGGCAGGTGTGAGGCGAGCCGGGCAGTCATGGGCTCCAGCTGGTCCGGGTCTCCCGGCATCTGGTCCCCAAAGCGAAGACCCAGGGCCGTCAGGACGACGAGGAGGACGGAATCGCAGCGCAGTGCCAACAGTGGCCGAAATAGCTCAGTTGGGAGAGCGTTAGACTGAAGATCTAAAGGTCCCTGGTTCGATCCCGGGTTTCGGCAGCTCCCTTTTTCTCCCCATGCGAAAGGAGGGGACAATGAACAGAGAAAGCTGATTCTTCGCAATTAATAAAAGCGTTTCACCTTTAATTTAAGACGGCTCCGAGCAGTGTCCACGGGAAGCCAGAGGGGTGGAAACCTCCTCGCAGCTCCTCATCCGGGAAATCCAACGAGGACAAGCTCCTCCTGACCCTATTTCTTTTGTTTCGTTCATTGATCTCTGTTACATGTTTGTTGATGTCTGCTCGTTAATTTTTGCTTGCTGTTTATTAACGCCCGCTGTCTGAACCTAGCGGCTAAATCAAGGACTGAGCAGGAAACGGCCTCTTTAAGAGGGAATTAAGCCAGACAGGGATTTTCGTTCTTCGGTTTTGTAGGAAGAGAAACTGTTTAACCGTTTGGGGCGCGTTAATAGCTAGCGGAAGTTAAACATACCTTAAGGGGGAGACCGGAGAACACCCAGTACAGCCTGTCCTCGTTAGTATAGTGGTGAGTATCCCCGCCTGTCACGCGGGAGACCGGGGTTCGATTCCCCGACGGGGAGGCTACTTACATTTTATGTTTTTTATCTCCACTTTTCCATTTTTCTTCTAAACAAATCAAATCCTTCAAGTTTCAGAGAAATTCGTTACTCTCCTCTGGAAGAATAAACCCGACAGGCAAGCGACATTCAAACTGACGGCGGTCGCCTGTCGACTGCCTGGTCCCAGCCACCCTCTGGCTCCCTAGTGTCGCCTGGTCACAAGAAAGAAAAAACGTTCTCTCCCTGAAGAGTTGTTTTCCATTTCCTGCATGCCCACAGCGCTCCTGTAAAGGGTTTGGTTTATATAAGGCCTGGCCTTCTAAGGCCAGGAACTGCTCGCTCTGCTGCAAATATTCTGTCTTCCTATGTCCTGCTCCAGCCCAGGGCTGCCTCTCAGAAAATGTTTAGGGCTTTGAGACACCAGGGAGGGCGAGTCTAAACTGAGACGTTTTCTTCTCTTAACTCGTTTACAGACTCAGCTTCCTGAACACAGCTGTCATCCTTCCCAGGCTCCCAGCTTCCATTCATTTATTTGTCTGTTCATTTCACACTCATCCCACAAATCGGTACTGAGGACTCCTTGTGTGCCAGGCACTGGGGATCTAGCAAGACACAAGACAGACAAGGCCCCGCCCTACTGAGTGAGGGACCAAGGGAGAGACACAGACAGTAAACAAATAGTATAAAAATGGGTTCCCAGAGTGATAAATGCTATGAAGAAAAACAGAACACATCTAAGGGGTGAGATAGGGATTGCATGGGATTCCTAGGCCCCTTTAGAGAGGTGGCCAGGAAGGCCTTTCTGAAGACCTGGACAATGAGACAGAGCCAATCATGAGAATATCTGGGGAACTGCATTCCAGGCAGAGGGAACGGCAAGTGCAAAGGCCCTGAGGTGCAAAGGAGCCTGGCATGCCTGAGGAACAGCAAGCAGGCAAGTGTGGCTGGAGTGCCCCGAGGGAGGAGGAGAGGAGTAAGGGATGGTGCTAGCAAGATCAACAGAGGCCAGATCACAGAGGGCCTTAAAGGCCAGAATAAGGAGTATAGATTTAACTCTAAGAGTTTTATGCAGAGAGGAAACATAACTGAGCTTGTTTTGAGCAGAGCAATCTGGCAAGAGAGCAAGCAGGGGCACTTCCTGAACTGAATACCATCCCCTAGCTCCCTCCCAAACTGTGTCCAAAATCATGCCATCCGTGGTGCCATCCTCCTGTTCTGTGGCCAAACTCTCTCTCTCAGGGCTGCCTCCTTGAGCTAGAGGGATACGGACAAAGCACTACTTACACAGCAGCCCTATTCCGCACCTCACCCCATTGCCCTCCTGCTCGGCCGTTCTGTTTCACCGCAACAGCATCAGCAAAGCATCGGCTCACGCCTGGGCTGAAGATGCGGGGCAGCAGCCCTTCCCGGAGTTCACTTAATAACAGCGCTTATCACAAGGAGAACTCACGTTTCCGAGCACGGACCTTGTACCAGGCGCCGTTCTCAACGCTCTACGTGTAACTCGTTCAGTGGTCGCGACCACCCCGTGAAGCAGCTGCTATTCAAACCTCCACTTTACAAACGAGCCCAGAGAGGCGAGGTCGCGAGGGCACCGCCGCTGGGTCCAGTGTGCGCCAGCTCACTTAGGCCCTTAGCTGCGAAGGGTTTCCCGCATCAGCAGCGGTAAGGGGGCTGACTGGGGACCGAGGTGGCGCGACATTTTAGGGTGCGTTCTCCCCATCATATAAGTCACTGTTTCCTGCCAGGAAATCTCAAGCACCGGTGGAAAGAGGTGAGGCCTTCTGTTTGGGGCCCTCGCCTCGCCTCTCACCCATTGCTTCCCCACTGAGTGGCCCCTTGGTGACCGGAAGCATGATCCTAAGCATCTGGAGGAGAGAGGGGCTCCCTGACAGTTAAAGAGTAGCTTTTTTCAGTGGGCTATTGCCAAGAAAGATTGCTTCCTCAGAGTTTAACCCATGATTCTGGGGGCTGGATCTGTATCCTTTTTGTTTGCTTACTTTTATCTTCAGAAGAGTTCTTTTGGGGAAAAAAAAAAGGTAGCTATGCATTCAAGCAGATATGCAAACCTCGAAGTCACTGAAGGTTGGAATGGTTTTAAAGGACGACAAAACAGAGATTTCTGGGTGGAGGTGCAAATGGGGCAATGCCCTTATTCATTGGAAAGAAATTTTCATTTTCCTTCCCTTCTTTTCTGTCTGTGAGGAGCAACATTCAAGAATAGGTTTATTTCTGGTATCAGCTAGAATTTCAGCTGCAAGGCTATGAAGAACGGACCTATTTGGGAAACATAAGACGACTTATTTTGGTTTGCTTTTGCTAAACCCTAACATCCGTTTAAACTATACGAAATTCTAATTCAGGGGGGAAAAAAATCTTAGGAATAGAGTACAGCAGAGAATTTCAGGAAAGAGAGTAAAGAGGGAGGGGGATGTAGCTCAGCGGTAGAGCGCATGCTTTGCATGTATGAGGCCCCGGGTTCGATCCCCGGCATCTCCACTACCGTTCTTTTCTGATTTACTTTTTTAAAATTTCTGCCCATGCTCTTCATCATTAAAGCGCCACGGATGTGATTGTAACAAGTATTATCAAGTTATTAACAAGTATCCAGTTACCACTTGGAGGTGGGATTTTCACAACAGACGTGATCTTCGTGATCTCCGCTTTCTGAAATCCCCAACAGTCCAAAGGTACTTTCGTTGGAAGATGCGAAGGGGAGGGAGCAGTTAGCAGGAAAATGGAAAGGCCAAACCTGATGGGAGCTGAAACCACAGAATGATCATTTGGGGAGTTTACTGTATGGTTCCTGGCATTGTGACTGCAGTAAAAGGCCTCGAGGCTTGTTGACTCATTCATTACCATCAGAGGGCAAGTGTGTAAGTCGTGCAAAGGTCTGAGCGTCTGTGCTGGGCCCTGCCCTCTGTGCCGTCAGGAACAACCTTTTCTGGAGGGAGCTGGAGCATCCCCATTAGGCAGGCTTTTGCTCCCTGCTTCATCTGCAACAGGGCACGAATGGATGAGTGAATGGCTTTGGTGCACGTACGGTTTATATTTCTATTTATACACCGTATCTGTATTTTATCATTAAAAAGATGTATTTTATTGAAAGAAGGGATCCTGTTGCATTCTGTGGGTACAGTTCTTTGTCTGCTGTAATATTGAATTCTTCCCCCATCAAATCTTGTCTCTCATTTGACTTTTAAATCATGAAAACATCTCATCTTAGACCTGCAGGGACCTGACTCTTTGCAAAGCCTTCACTTTTGAGATGAGGAAACTAAACTTCATGAAATGACTCATGAGTTAGGTGGTGGAGTGTTGGTGACAGCTCCTGTTTCTAATGATCTTCTGTGAAGGTTATTTCTCCCTAAATGTCAACAAGGTTTTAAGGGAACAAAACGTTGAGGTTATTTCTAAAGTTATCAGGTCTAACATGAAACCAATTACATACTTTGTTTTACTTCGTGCCTTATAATTAAATATTTGTAATAGTGCAATGACAAGGAAAAAATACCACAAGGCTTGTTGGGAAACAGAACTTTTTAGAAAAGTTATTGTGAATTTGAAAAAATTGTTTTTTCAACTACTACATTTTATTTTACACTCACAAAAACAGAGCCCATTATATGAGGTGGTGAGAGCAGTCAAATTCATAGAGACAAAAAGCGGAAAGGCAGTTGCTAGGGGCTGGAGGAGGGGGGAATGGGGAATCATTTAGCAAGTACAGAGTTTCAGTTTTGCAAGATGAAAAGAGTTCTGGAGATGGATGGTGGTGATGGCGGCACAGCGATGTGACTGTTGAAGGGTAGCAGAACACGCCGTCCTAAGATATGCCGCTTTGTTCTGTTGATTATTTTGAGCATTTGGCACTTGGAAAACAGCAAATGCAGGAGAGGCTTTCTCTGAACTCCCCTCATCTGCCTATAGATACAGTCTCCAAAGGGAACTCAGCGGTCACAGATCCCCTCCCCGGAAGTTTCACCGGGGAAGATTGGCTCTCGTCACAGGAGAAGGGACTAGGAATCGACATCAAACTTTGTCACAAAGTGTCATACCTCCCATCTATTCTTCTAAGGCCCAGTCATCTTTCCTAAAAATCATTTACTCTCCCCTAAGGGGCCCACATCCTGGTCCCCTTCCCCTGTTAAGATGGTTTCTAAGGCTAAACGCTGAAGCCACCTCTTTGGGTTGCTCATTTCCCCTGGGTGTCTCCCATGTATACATGAGGTACACAAGTTAACAAACTTCTGGGCTTTTTCTTCTTTTCTCTTGTTAATCTTTTGTTACAGGGGTCTCAGTTAAGAACTCAGAGGAGTAGAGGAAAAATTATTTTTCCTTCCCTACAATACACTTAACGCTATTGAACTGTACACAAAAATGGTTAAGATTGTAAATTTTATGTTATATGTATTTTGCCAAAATTGAAAAAAAAAAGAGTTCCAATAGGTTAACTAACTCCTTAACGTTCCTAAACTAGGCAAATTTGGGGCCTGGAACTTAAGTCTGATTTTCTGACTGGTGGGGGATGAAATTGGTTATTTTTAAGCAGGAGCAGTGGGTGTTCTGCCACACAATGCAAATGCACAAACGTAAACAGGAAAAAGAACAGAATCCCTGGGGCTTTTTTTTTTTTTTTTTCCTGAGCTGCAGATACCCTTGACTACCTTTTACGGTTATATAAGTGATGACAAAGCAAGGCAGGCCTTTCCCACCCAGCTCTCTGATTTCACCCTTTCTCTTAGGGGGGAAATGTTTGCTGCCCATTGTGCTCTGGAACATTCTCATGATGTTGAGCTCAGTCCCATACAAGGTGGTGACCTTCAGGGGAACTGGATTCTTTGGAGGAAGGAAGAAAGGCGGGCAGGCAGACAGGCACCAGCCCAACCCTCCCCTCCCCCCAGCAGCCCAACAGCCAGGCCCTTTGTGAGCTCAGCCCATCACGTGCTCGCATCTGCCCGCCAATCCCGCCCTGTTGCTGGGCCTCTGTCACTTTTCCATTGGTGCCAGCTCTGAAGCAATTTCTTCTGGGGCGCCTGCAAAGGACGGATCTGTGGGCGGAAAGAACTGAAAATGGATCCAGTGACTCATCCAGCTTCTCGCACATTCTAGTGCATTGCATTCTAGGTCAGAGGGCTTTAGGTTTTAGGAGCGTGACTTGATACCTGATTCCCGATTCCAAGTGGGACATTTAGACTTTGGGAGCCCTTCTCAGCAAGTAGAAAAGCAATTGTGACAACAACAACAAAATCCTCTGTAGAGCAGGGTTTCTCACCGGGGCATTGTTGACACTGGGGGCCGGGTAATTCTGTGTTGTGGGGGCCTGTCCGTCGTAGGATGTTGAGCAGCATCCCTGGCCTCTGTCGCTGGATGCTAGTAGCACCCCAACCCTCAGCCACCACAGTTGTGACAACCAAAAATGTCTCCAGACAATGCCAAATGTCCACTGAGGCAAAAATCACTCCTGGTTGAGAGCCACTGCTCCAGAGAAACACCAGCCCCTCTCTTGGGAGGTCAGTGTCTCCTCCGGTCTCTCACTCTGTGCCCTTGGACAAATGTTTACTTCTATTTCCTTCAACAAAAACCTACTTATTGGACTTAGATTAGGGGATGCAAGGGTGTTTCAGAGAATGTTTTCTGCTAGAGAAAAAATCAGTGTTCTCAGCCTAAGAATGTTGTTTTCTCTTTGGAGATAACCTTCGGCCCACTCCCCACCCTCTGAGCCTCTCTCCTTCCTCCTCTCTTCCTCTTCCTCTTCCTCCTCTGCCTCAGAAATCAGGCCTATTTTTCTCTGTACCTTTTGGACTCTGAGACAAGCCACGTTGCAAAGCTCGTGACTCAGCCTTTAAACAACATGAATCACACGGCTTGCAGCAAAGCAACAGCCAAAAGCAAACAAGGTGTGGTTTGAAGCGAGTCCTGATCACCTGAGAAAGAACCTGTTTTTCTTCCTTTAGAAACTTCTTCCTGAAATTTAGGGAGACATAATCTTATTAAGAGCCTCAACTTTTTGGTCCTTTAAAATCTCTTTCCAGAAACTTAGAAAGAAATATCTTTCACAGAAATCTGTATTGGCAGTCACCAGGGTCTCCTGCTAACCCGAAAAATGAATTTTATTTTTATTATTCATTTTAATTCTCCAGTAATAAAATTCATTCTCTTAGAAAAATGTTAAAAATTAGAGGTTAAAGTCTATTTGCAACACTGCTCATGATACCAAGCAATGGGCTCGCTCTGCTCGCTAAGATCTGGGCCAATTAATCACAAGTTAGAGATCGAGAAACGAAGCTTAAGTAGATTATCCGGTAAACCGGAAGACAGGTGACTAATGTCTCAAAGACCCATCTTCAAAGATTACAGAATCTTGAGGCAGTAAAATGGGCAGTAAGGTGGGGGGTCCAGGGATGTTGGACTCCAAGCATGATGGGCTCCAGGCATCACATTGTTCCATTCTTCTGTCAGCTGTGATGGATACCTTGTAGGTGTGTCCCTGCCTGTGGTCAGCCTGTTCCTGGAGAGAAACTCATAGAACAAAGTTTTTAATTTATCAAGTTATTGGGGAGTACATACCTGAGTGGAGGCCATAAATCAGGAGAGCATTTGAATTTTTTAGACTACGTGCAGAACGAGTAGTCACACAGAGGAGGGGCTGGGGCCATTTTAGCGTAACCACATGGCCTCACTTACGCTCACTTACACTCCGACTTTTTTCATAAATACATACATACATGGGTTACTGAAGAAAATACAGTTTTATTTTCATTCACATTTTAAGTATAATGTTTAAACAATGTTCATAATTTTAAACAGGAATGTAATCTTTTCCTAATGGCAGAACATTTTTCAGTCAGTTGCCTCTTTTTCTATTTTTTTCTTCAAGGCGTTAAAGGTAGAAATTAAAATATCTTTCCCCCCTCCCCATTTGTAGAAATAGGGAATAATTCTAGAAGAGCCCAGAAGGAACAGTGGCAGGAGAATTGAGGGCATGAGGGAGACTGCAAACTTAAAAAAAACCTGTTTTAAAGTTTCACCATGCTCACCTATTTTAAAACATTTTAAAAATGCGCTGAAGAAATGACACATCGAGATCACAAAATAGCCTGTCGTAAAAATGAAAAAGATCTGGCTGGTGAGCCTTTTTCTCCTCTTTTATCAAAATGGAATTTGTCTCTAGAATTAAATTTCATATTTGGGATATCGAAATGTTTTTTTCTCCCCGGAAATACATGGAGCTGAGATTCAATTAGTCTTTTTAAATCTCAGGCTTAAATAGCTTCAACTTCCGAGTCCAACGAAATGTCGACAGAGCTGAAATTCTGATAGCCTCCTTGTTTATAGTCAAGCACTAAGTTCTCAAACCCAAGGCCACGCAGATTAAACAGGAAAGCTAAAGAACAATCTAGAAAGATCTAGTTCTGTCAGCTTTCAGGTCCAGCTCAAGTAGTCTCACAAAGCTGTGTGGAATTTCTGCCTTTCTTCTCCCAGTTCAAGGCAGACACGCCACAGTCGTTTCTCCGTTGGAAACGCACGCTTTGCCCGTTTGCTTTGAGGCATTCTTGCTCCTCCTGCGCAGACGCCGGCGTCTGAAGCGGAAGCCAAGATCTGTCGAGTCATTCGCCTTGTCCCGGTGCCCGCCCGGGGGGGATGGGCCCGGCCGCCACCACTGGGGGCTGGGGCCCGGGGGGCCCCGGGGAGCCCCCGCCACGGCCCGGAGTGAGGGGAGTTTGGTGAAGCAAAAACACGATTATTATCTCAAATGTGACCCGAAAGACCCCCGGTGTCGCGGGGGGGGGGAGGGGCAGGGCGCGGTGCGCGAGAGGGCAGCAGGACCCCGCCTCTGCATGAGGCGCTCGGCCTGAGCCGTGGCCGTCAGGGGCGGGTCCCGTGGCCGGCGGGACCGTTGGGGCTGAGGGGAGGGGGCGTCGGGGCCGGGCTGCGGGGACAGCCCGCTCCGGGCGCCCGGGAGACTCCGCGCCGGGTTTTCGCGCCTCCCGGGGGCCTCTCCCCCGCCCCCTCCATCGAGCGCTGGCCACGTCCGCGGACGCAGCGCGCAAAGAACGCGGTGATCCCTCCGCCCGGCCTCTCAGGACAGCGCCCCCCCCGTCCCCAGATTCAACCCCAAAGTCCCCGTATTAACAGGAGAACATTTCAGGGGGGCGATTAGGTGGTTCCGGGGAACTATTTTTCTCTCCAGGCAGCAGGAAGGGCTGAGAAAAGTAGTCCCTTCTCGGCCTTTCTGCGGAGTGATCCCCGGGGCGGGGCTACCGTTGCTATATAAGTGAAGCGCCGGGCGTGGCGCAGGCACATCGGTCTAGGTCAGGCGCTCTGTTCGTGTTGGTCGTCCGCTGCTGTCGGCGCAACTTGGTGAGTAGAGGCCGCTGCGGTGGCCCTGGGGTCTGGTGGCCGTGCGGCTGCGGGCCAGGGGGTAGGGGGGAGGCCGCGCTGCCCGCCGCGGGCACAGGGGCGGCTGAGGCTTTCAGGTTCCCGGGGCCCGCGAGCAGGGCAGCCGTGAGGGGGGGGAAGGAACGAGCAAGATGGCGGCCGTTTCCGATCCCTAGTCGGGGGAAGCGGGACTCTGAAGCGGGCCAGGAGGTTGGAGAGAGATGGGGAGTCGTGGGTGAAGGAAACCGCGAAGGCCGCGAGCGCGGGGGAGCTCGGCTACTTGTAGGGCCGGGTCGGGCGGCGTGTGGGGCGGCTGCGGTGAAGAGAGCGGTTCGCCGCGTGACTGGCGCGAGAACCTGGTCTCGTCGCAGCGGGGGGTCCTGGCGTCGTGGGTGCCGCTCCCGCCAGTCCCGCACCCACTGTGGGGGAGGGGCGCGCTCGCGGGAGCGGGCTCGTGACGTCAGCGCCGCTGTGGGCTCATAATGCGGGGTGGGGCCGCCTGCAGGGGTGGGGGGCAGCTTTGTGTGAGTCACGGGACACGGGGTTTGGGCCTGATGTGGACGCTGCCGGACTGACATGACAGGGGACACGGGTCCGCTGAGGGGGGAGATAAGTGAGGCGTCCAAATCTACCGGGCCAGGTGTCCCTGCTTTTCTCTGGTAAGTTCCTGAAATGGGTTCCGGCTCATTTGTCAAGCGTGTCCCGTTTCATTGCGTGAGGTTGTTCAAGAGAGGTGTCCATTTCCGTCTTTTGGCTGGCACAGTGACCTTTGACTCCTGCTCCTGAGGAACGTGTTGACCCGTGAATTACCTGTTAAAACTCTTGGATTTTTTCTTTATCGTTTTGTTCTGACAGACAATGCAGATCTTCGTGAAGACCCTGACGGGCAAGACCATCACCCTCGAGGTGGAGCCCAG